ATGATATCTATCAAAACGCCTGCCATTTGAAATAAATATACATCTGTTGAAGAAAATAAAAATAGTGAAAATTGTGAGATTTCGCTAATGAAAAGTTAACTTTGTAGAATTTAGCATAGAAGTCTAATGTATTACTTTGTGACTTTTTGCATTGATTTTTCTGATTTGTTTCCTTGTTTAATAAGGTATACTCATGGTGTATTCTGCATTGGTAAAGGACAACTTGTTAGTATCAATGTCATTTAAATATCTAGAGTTCGTTGTTGGTTTCCCAGTCCATACTGTGGAATAAAGCATAGGTCGTACCATACCGGCAATATTCCTGCTTTGACTTGCTTATTTTGACCTAATTTAATTTTTTTCCAGTTTTGTTTCTATAACGTCGGCAATTAATTAAGTGATCCACCCTTTATTGATGAAAAAATCTTTACGGTGACACAGTTTTATTCACCTTAAATGAGCATAGCTTACCAATCTAAGCTTGTCTAATTATTCTTTTGCTGTCTCATTAATGGGTATCACTTTGCCTTCTAACTAAAGAGCGATTTCGAATACCAAGTCCGACCAACGTGAATGGAATCCGGTCAATAAGCTAGGCACATCGTAGTCACCTTTTGCTATTATCTAGTGGGCGAATTGCAAAATTTAAATTTTGGAATGGGAACTACCCATCCTCTTGTTTCTTTAGATGACTAATATATTGCATTTAACCAAATGCCTTAATTCAAGTTGTGCTCATTCAGACGCAAAGGGAGATTGATTGTGCCTTAATGAAATGCCTTTTTCTGTTAAGGAATTGCATCCACTTCGAATTATCGAATTAGCTATTTTATTCTAGAATATTCTTTCTTTGCCTCAAATTGGTAACAGGTTAGCAAATTTGACGATCCATATGTACTTCATTGCTTTATTTTTTACTGGTTGCGTTCGCGTAATATTCGTGTATTCTTTAAAATTTCAGTCTTTGTGTTCACTGTATGATCCAGGTGTTATGTTTGTTTCTTCTCAATTTCAAACAGTTGGAGCTAACTCGTATGGACGCTGTTGGTGACTTAAAGAAGCAGCTTTACGTGGAGTTCGACGGTGAACAGGGAATTGATGAAGGTGGTCTTAGCAAGGAATTCTTTCAGCTCATTGTGGAACGCATTTTCAATCCAGATTACGGTGAGTTTCTTCCTCCTCTTTTTACTGGAGTCAAAAGTAGAAGGTATCTAAAGTGTTACTGATATGCTGACGAATAGAATTGCGATAAAAGCATAACTCATTTAACTACCTGTTTCAAGTTCAAAATGAAAAAGCGAATTTGCCATTTTCAAAGTGCGTAAATGAGTAATATGTCCTTTAAGATTGGAAAGTGGGTTCAGATAAGACGGAGGTCAAGTCAAATCCAGCGTGTATCGAGCTATGGCTTAGTATTTCAAACACTGACATTATGAATTCTATTTCTAGGTATGTTTGTCTTCGAGGAGGAATCTCAGTGCTTCTGGTTCAATCGTAGTCCTCTGGCCGAAGAGCTAGAACGCGAATACTGTCTTATTGGAACTATCCTCGGTCTGGCCATCTACAATAGTGTTATTCTTGATATCCACTTTCCTGCTGTTCTCTTCCGCAAACTCTGTGGCAAACTCGCCTCAGGATTGGAGGATCTCATGGAGGGTTGGCCAACTCTGGCTCATGGACTTCAGGTAAGCAATTTTAGTTGGAACCAAGTCTCCATCGAGATAATTCGTACTAAATGCAAAAGTGTAGCTACTTGGCCCCCTCTTGCACATTAATAAGACTTCTAACCTATAATAAATAAAGAATAATTAATTTTTTCTGACTTTGTACGCTATTAGAAAGCGAAAATGACTGAGTAGATACATTACAGGAGAGCAAGTATTAGAAAATGTGGTAAAATTGAAAAAAAATCACATTTACTGCCGAATGGTAACTAATACTCTGAACAAAGTGAGCAGGGTAAAGTGTTTCAACTCTATCATCTGACGCGATTAACAGTTAACAACTGTACTGGGAGAGCATGGTTGTTTTATTGCGGTCTATCTTTTGAATACCCTGAATAAATGAAAAGAATGAGTAAATAAATGCGTCATCGAATAAGGTGTCAAACAAAAAGCGTCAGATGACAATTGTGCGATGAAATGTCATTTGGTTAAAATTAAAGGAAACGTTCGAAATCTTTACAACGGGGGGGGGACGTTTGGGGAGGTTGCTTATTTCATGTGCTTTCTCGTACTTATTTTGAGGTTGTGAATTTAGTGTGCACTTTTATTGAAAAGTACGAATTTGCTTCACGTCGGAATTATCTGCCTACCTTTGATATACCGTTTGCGGATAAATAAACTGGTCAATTTCGGTAAAAAAGTGAATGATCCTAGAGATTAATGTATTTACTGCATACATTAAAAGAATTAGTGAGTACATTTATGTAATAAGATCCGGAATTGAATCGCGCATACCTTACCGCTGGAACTGGGGGGTGGGGGTGGGGGTGGGGGGAGGAATTCATTGCTAGTTTTTTTTAATGCAATTCATACACATACTTGCAACCTGATGTCTTGATTGACTGGCACACACGCGCACCTATATCTTCTGAGCGGAATGCTTTGACTAAAGGCGTAAAAATCGTTTTTGTTGAGTGATATCTTCAATGATATTGCAATGTGGTATAGATGCGTTGAAAATTGTCAGCATTTTCCTGGGTTTTTCTTTATTGTTACTTACGTCACTGCGTTGCCTCCCAAATAGCGAACTAGTATCGGAAAGGTATTTTCCGCGCACCGAGTTATTCAGTCTGGCATTCTAATCATTTTAAATATAGCCCCTAAAATATACTTGCGCTTATCGGCTACAAATCCTGATAGTTGAAAATAGGAAGCTCTCTGTTGATCGCTTTCATTAGTGTATGTTCATGTGCTTCTCTCTTGGCTTTAGGTTTAAATCTGTCTTGTCTAATCTTATTCGCTCTGTTTCCCTTATCGACTCTTGAAAAGAAGATTTAGGGGGCTGTTGTCACCGCTTTGCAGTCAATTCCAAAAAAATATCGAAAATGCTTTCGAGCGTAAAGCAACTAAGACTATTGCTTTTGGTAGAGAACACTTGGTTGGAGTAATCGATCCATGTCCTCTAATTGCCCTGCTTTTATTTCCCATGTGCAAACTACCGGTGAATCCTACTCTCATGTGTTTTGAAATATTGATCGTGAGACCTGACCGACCAGGCTGTAATAATGAAATTTATTTGCCCATTGTCTCTATCAATACCATAATTACTTGTACAGCCCATAATCTATTTATTTCAAATGGCAGGCTTTATGATAGTTATCATTAGTCCTTTGGTTGACTTCGGGCTTCACAGAGGGGAGGAGCATCAAAGTGAGAAATTTTCGAGAGGGAGAACAGAAGAGTGAATCACTGATGTAAAAGAAACTGAATGACACAAGTCAGAGAAAAGGGTATGGTGAGTACTGTGGAAGTGGTCCAATATGACATACAGTGGGGTTATGGTAGTTTGAAGTCAGAAGTCGATTGCCGATTTATAGACTTTTTGCCCTATGCCTATACTTTGGTCAGGGTGCTCCACGTTGGGGTGAGTCTATCGCACACCATAAATGGAAACCAGCTACGGAAATAAGCCGCCTTTGTAGAGGCACTTACGGCAAATTAAGTTTCTGGAAGTAGTCTATCGGCAAAATTTTGGTGATCGATTAGCTGATTTACTTGCACACCATATAGTTCAAAGCGCCTAATATGTGGTAAAAAGTTAATTTTGATTACCGAATCACCTGATTATGCTCATGTTTACCTTGAATGCAGTTTTATCAGCCTTAAAAGTTTTCGTAGGTTCCAGAAAAGTTTAAAAGTTGCTAATATTTACTTGTCTTTCCGTTGACTCAATGTAACTTTAAGTTTACGCCAAATGTTTTTTTTTATCTGTTGCCAATGTTGACAACTTTCTCCATTTGAAAATGAAAATTCCATCAAGTCAGCGTGACCCATTCAGGTGTTTATTTTTTTCGTTCATCCGAGTGCTTTTCGCGTTTTAATCAGTCTACTTGCGCATATGACCTAAAAGAGTCGTATTAATTTTTTTCCAAGGCCCTTCTGGACTATGATGGAGATGATTTTGAAGATGACCATAGCATCAACTTTGTGGTCAATTACAAGGATATGTTTGGTCAGTCAATCACCCACGAATTGATTCCCAATGGAGCTTCAACACCTGTTACTAAGGCAAATCGGCATGTATGTGATCTTTTCTTATCTGCCGTAAAGATACCACCATTTATTTGTTGATCGTATTGTGTTGTAGGAATTTGTAGACAAAACGGTCGATTTTCTACTCAATACCTCTGTCAAGAAGCAATTTGCGGCTTTCAGAAAGGGGTTCCTTTTGGTGGTTGGTGACACGCCTCTATTCCATCTCTTCTCTCCCTCTGAGATTGAACTCCTTCTTCTTGGAAGTCAGGTACGTTGTTGTATTGTCTTTTGGTTCAAACGAATGAATTATTATTTTAGATATAACAATTTTAATTATGCCGCAATGTGGGAGTAATTAATGATTTTTAACACCAAAAAGTCTACTGGGAGCCTTGTTGTCATTCAAGTTTCTCTAAACTGATTGGTTGCCAAGTAGTTCATTTTCTTAAATCAATGAATCAAAAGAATGTCTTCCCTCTTTTAAGTTCCTTTGGCTACTCGCCATAAGTATTGTTCTCAGTGCTATTGATTACAACGTAATCTACTTAGCGTCCTACACCGTTGTCCTGATTTTTTGCTGTATATCCGATTCTTCCACAGTTCCCTATTTCAAAATAAGAATGTTGTCGTAGTCAGCCTTACTTTGAGAGTTAGCTAGGTAAATATATTGATGGTTTTATGACAAAATGCTAGCTGCATCGAAGATTAACAGACAACACTCATGTTTCAGTTGCCTTTTATTCAAATTTCAGTTCATGAGATATAGTAGTAAAATGTGCGAGTATCGGGAAACCTTCCTTTTCAACCCTTTTCGGTCTAAATCAAATATAGATTTTTTGGGAACTAAAAACTATTCAACTCCTCTATAATCGCATTTTATAAATGACCTAAAAAGAGAAATCGGTTTATATTTTAATACGTCTAATCGGGCTTTACTTCTCTCATTCAGCATTGTCTAGTATTAGGTTTCAACGCTCGCGCCCAGAACTATTGCAATTATTGGCTGATCGGGTAGCCAATCATTTCTTATTTAATCATATGTTTAATCAATGCTATTTCTTTAATGTAATTAAAATAGTCTTAACCATTCCTTTTCTCCCTTGCAGTTATTTTATTACCTTAGAGGACACCTAGCAATGTCACAGGGATGTTTGCTTTATAATATTTTATTTATTTTTTTAACCTAAATCGGCACTTATAGGTCGGTCTGATGGTTGACTGTCACTATTTTCTAAATGTCCAAATGCCGAGTTCATTCCAGGTTAGAAAAAAAGTTCTGCAGTTAAAGACATCATCGGTCAAGTTACTATGCTTCTTCTTTTTATGAACTTGATTTAATTAGTAAACGCAAAAATTTGGCCAGCATTTAACGAAATCTAATGTTAAACTTGTCCATAATTAGAGATGATTGAAAAATAAGGGCTTTTAGTAATTGTTAGGTACTTTTAGTTAAAGTACTAGGAGAAATCGAAGCTGATCCATTTAGACTGTCATTTTTACCCTCTCTTTCTTATAGAACTACGACTTTAAGGAACTCGAGCGAGTTACGGAGTACGAGGGTGATTACAACGCTGAAACGCCCGTAATTCGCCAATTCTGGTCGGTAGTTCACTCTATGCCAGAGGAAGAACAGCGCAAACTTCTCCAATTCACCACTGGAACTGATCGTATCCCTGTCGGTGGCATGTCTCGTATGAAATTTGTCATCGCCAAACAGGGACCTGATTCTGACAGGTTCGTGATCATTTTTACTTTATGCCAGGAAAAGAATAAAGCATTTTAGTCGGCCCATGGCATTTGAGTAATTTAAGACCCTCTATGAATTGTAGGTAGCCTGGTCTAAGTTGAGTACATCGTATTGATAGTAGCCGGGAAGTCTGTTCAAACTGTGAGAGGCAGTGGTGGGGACCAAGAAGCCTGAAGAGTACAAGAAAAGTTGAGAGCAGTCATCTGTGCTGGCAGCCACCAATCTCTGATTTGCGAAAGACCTTTAAGATGTGTGCATATATCGGCATATTAACTTCCCATTGATCTACTGATCGGGCATCCGTTTGGGTCAATGAGGTTGCTAAATTCGCCTCTATTTATGTTCTAGCGACATTCTTGCTGGCTTATTCACATAAAGGAGTAAAAGACGTTTTCATATAGCTAACATAATGAAGACCTTAATCAGGAGAGAATTCAAGACTTCAAGAAGCAATGAACTTGAAGCCCGAACAAAGGAGAAGCAGTGTAAAGCGGTGTTCCCCAGCATGGCCGACTGGCCAAGAATCGAAGCTGTTGCAAATTTCAGACTGCGTACCGGACACGAACAGGAGTATACGCTCAGCCAACATGCCCCCTATTTGACCTACAGGAGGAAATGGCGAAGACTAATCTAATACGATGTCCACCCCTACAGACATTTACAGAAACCCAGAGATACTGGGAGGCCAGAAGTCAACTAATGAGCCACTGTTAACTATCCTAAAGCCTATATATGTATATATGTTCCCCCCCCCCCCGTTGTGAAGACCAAAGTCAACTAAGGAGCTAATGATAAATATCATAAAGCCTTTCATTTGATATAAATAAATAGTTCTTATTTGTTTTTTTTTCTTCCAGATTGCCGACAGCTCATACATGTTTCAATGTCCTACTGTTGCCAGAATATTCCAGTAAAGAGAAGTTGGATCGTTACCTCCGAATAGCTATTGACTACTCCAAAGGTTTCGGCATGTTCTAAGGCGCCGTGTTGCACAGCAGGAAGTGTGTGTATTTGCGCGAGAGAGGCAATAGCAAAATAAACACAACACTGTCTTTCCTCCTTGACAATTTTTACGAAATCTCTCTATCTTTCCCTGTCTCCCTCTCTCGTTTATATCCTGCTTCGCTGCCTATCCCAACCTATTGTTAACCCCTATCCCCTCTCTCCACCCAGTCGTCTGAGCTAAATCTCTATTTGATGATAAATATATACACATACACACATACCAATTCGCATAGACGTGAGGACCTATGCGTTTTGGAATGTTCTTTTCTTTCCATTCTGTTCTTTCCTCTCTTTTTTGCTGTCTAGAATATGCTTACTTGTTTGTCTGATTTGAATGTTTCTATGTGCATACACTCATTAATAGTTAGTAGTATAGTTCCTCAGATTTTTTTGGAAGGTGAAAGTTGACTTGACATTGATGTGACTCTAAAATCTCATCTTTCACGATATTAGTTTGTAGAGACCCCCTATCGAAGGGCGTGACACACTCCATTGGTTTACATTCTACCAAATGCATTCACGGAATCAGTTGGTCATTCGTCGTTTGAAAGCTATCATTAAGTCCCCTTGTTACTTGTTGCATTAGTTTGTTTATCAATTTCTCTCAGTTTTTCATCTGCATTTTTTCTATGACCCGATTCCCCCTTTATTTGGCTACTCGCATTGAGCATTGCTTCATTAAGTTTTCAGTTTCTGATTGGCATATAGCGGTCTTTCCTATATCCTTCTCTAATATAATACTCTACCCATTTATATATTGTGCTAGTGAATGCTTTAAGGCTCGGAGTGTCAATAATTTTGACAATTTCTCTCCCTTCTACCCTTGTAATATCTTAGCTAGAACCTTTTCGGTACAAAGTCAACAGCAAGTTATGCTTTATAAGGGGTTTTTTGATGAGATTTACTAGTGGTGTCTGTTGTCATGTCTACTATGTGAACCTTAAGATGGTTGGTGGATTAACCATCAGCCATGCTTAGCTGGTTTGTTATCAGCTTTGTATAACCTCCAATAACAAAAAAGGCCTTGCAGCCGTTCTGAGATTTTGGACTTTACTAGATGATTGGATCTGTTTCTGCTCTTTGCTTTAAAGTTGTATTCTATCGAATAGTACTTAATTTGCTTTCTCCACTTTGATGAAATAACAGTCTTGAGGCTTCCATTTTAATCACTCACTACCGGTTAGATTGAGGGTTTATTTCCGAAGGTTGTTGAGTATTTATTCGGCTCGATGATTCGGTTTTCGTTAACAAGTAAGGCTAGTGCGATAACGTGTAAAGTTAACGGCCATTAGGTGAAATCAGCATTGGGCCTTATCGAATGAGACAACTGACATGCTAATTGGCTCATTCACTATTGCCCAATCAAATAACTGTACTAATACAGATTATCCAATCTCCTTTTCCCCATTCTCAGATGAATCCTTCCTATCGTACAGGGAATTCTATTGATGGGACAGAGGAAACTGGGATGAACGTGGACGTGCTACGTTTGTTGGCAGCCAGATCGGCAGAAATGATGGCTTGTGAATCTTCCATTCACATAACAACGGCACGAGCCATTGCTCCACTTCAGAAACTCCCCGTCCGCCTTCGTAGGCGCGCCGCTAGCCACAAAATTCAACGCCTGCCAAGACGTTTGCACCAGGGAGTCGCTCAAACCGTAAGTTTCTTTAATTTAAATACATTAACTTGCAAGTTAATTTAAGCTGAGCATACCTCTGCAATTTCGTCTTACAATGTTATCGTCGAATTGTCAGGTGTGCAGTCTTTCCGTTAGAGCTATTGTGGTAAATAGTTTGCGAACGGTTTCTTATTCGATTTGTATATTAACATCTTTTCCACGTAAGCTTCTGTGGAGTTAAGTTAATTTTTTTTATTCTATCAATTTCATCTCTAGTGGTCATTTGTTTATTCTATTAGTGCCAATAAATTTAGTCATCGAAGAATATTGTTGCGGAAACCTCGAAGCAATGGGAATTATTTCCATTACCCAGTACGTTTCGTTTCCATCTATTATTCACTGTGTCTCACTTCATGCCACAGTAAGTTCCTTTGCTTAAAGGTGGTTTTACGAATAATTATCGATATGTGAGTGCATAGCTTTCAAACTTGTTCAATTGTCCTTCTGTTATGGAACAGACTGCTCAAACTGTATGAGGAAGAGAAAAGACAGAAAGGTCAAGTGCTGTTAACTACTGAGAACATTAATGTACTTATCCAGAATTGAATAAGGGATACATGATCGACCAATATTAACAACGAGAGGTTCTTCACTTGTGGTCTGATCGTAGTAGTCAAATGATCGACATGGGAAACGAACTCGATCCAATGGTCTCTTAACAATAACTCTCTTATTACCTTTTTTCGTTGTGATACCCATTTACAGCAGTTTATTTGTAGCGTTTACTTATGAAGTTCCCATTCGTGTGCATATTCCTCTCCACTCACTGGATGCGATCAAACATCCAGCTGTTTAAAATCTTGGAGCAAAGATTGTTTTGCACTACTCCCTTTTTGTTCTCTTGCAAAAGGGTTCTTCTCTTTCAGACATTCAAAATAGGATGGCTTGTAGTCGTGATGTATTTGTCCTCTTGAAATTTCCTTTCCTATTCCGATTGTTTCTTCGCAGTCTTGGCTGCTCTTCTGCATTATTTCAAATTTTAATTAGCACCAAAATAGCCTCTGATTGTATACAGATACAAATGGGAATATCGGATTGCAATTAATGTTTCCACTACTAAATTAAATTTTTCTTATCGACTTAGCTAGTAGTTCGAAGACACCAAGCTATTTGGTAGATATGAGGGTTTAGACTGTGCGGAGGGCTATTTTCAATAAATATTTACAAACTATTGATCTAGGTTTTTGGTCAACTAATTAATTCCTTATACCTGAGTTGAAGAATGAATAGGGTAGTCGGAGAAATCGATGTTAATTTGATAGTTGTCATCTTCATTAACTTTTTCATTTCATAAGGTTATAACTGCGGTATAATTAAGTAGACTTGACATAACGACTTTTGTTTAATCAAGGTAGTTGCATTCCAAGTGGGATTCGCGAAGCCCAGATCTTTATTATTCAAGTAGAGCGTACTTGTAAGTGGGTAATTTACCACACCCAGAGCCACCTCTTCCCCCTTCTTAATGCTAACTAGACCTCCTCTTCCCTTCTTCTTCTTCTTCTTCCTTGTAGTTGAGCAAAAAGCTTGTCGGTCAAGCCAAGAAATGCCGTCGCTTTCGTCGCCGTCCCCAAAGACTGGCAGCATTGGCAGCACATCGCGCCCAAATCCCTGTTAGCAATGTTGAGGGTAATAGTGTTCAAGCCCGTTGGATTCCAACTGCTCTATGGCATGCTAAACGCTTCCATATCGTCCAGAACTGGGGGTGGCGAATACCCTACGCTCCCACGGATAAAATGTTCAAAACCCTCCAGCGAGCTACTACTGAGTAGGACATTTTTTCCCATTAAATTCTCACTGTTAACTCAGATATTATAATAAGGCGCTATTTTTAGTGAATACTTTTTGCTCGACTAACAATATTAACTTTTATCAGTCGATTGCCATAAAAGATGGACAAATTATGATTCGAGTTCGATAGAATTTCTTTGGCTCTTCCTTTAAGCTCGATTCACCTTTAATGTCTGACAATGCCAACTTTTTTCGAGCCTCTTCAAATATTCTATTGACTGACCAATAGTAAAAGAGAACTTATTCTTTCGTTCCTGTTAGTGAGTGCATTCCACTAGTTAGTAGAACTTTTCTTACACGACCCCTAGATATTTAGCAGTTGAACACAGAACCGCTAACATAAACCACACTGCTACTGCGATGTCGTGTTCACTGTGTACTGAGCCCAGTGGAAAAGCTGCTGGCATCCAGAGCTCAATGTTGACTTCTGCATGAAGTAGCTTGGATGTATCCCTGGTCGCGAATGGTTGGTTAGTGGGATAAGTAGTTCTCTCCCCTAATGAACTGGACCAGAGGGACTTTTTACAGTGTTGCAGAATTTTGTAAATTCTGCTCCTGATGATGATATGCTTCCTCCTAGCTAAAGTAACATTTGGGCATATAATTTATTCATTTTATCGTAGCTGCGGGGTTGCAAAGACATATCCGGCTACCAAAATTGACTGTTTTGGTGGTAAAGCATTTGAAATGTGCTTTTAAGATAATTGGTCCCCTCTGTGTGTGTGTGCCAATTGGTCAGCAAATCCTTTGTTCTTCACGCTTTGTCATCTCAAGGTAAATATGGTGTGTCATAAATATATTTGCATGATAAGGTGCTTAAACGAATATTTTCGTTGCACCCATGAACAAAGGAACAAAATATGAAAATTAGGTATGGTTGTAATGAAATTTTTAAAAGCTCAAACACAGTGCATTTTCTTCATTTTAGCCGCTGTATGCTGATTGATCAAGGATATTTAAATTGTTTCGCTCTTACTGGACCTGTGGATGTGTTAAATCGATGTATAGAAGAAACAACCCTTCCATATTACGTGTCCAGCATTAGCCCCAACCAACCAGATGATACCTCACAGTCTTCAGAATTTCAAGAGACTGTTCGCCTACTATGCCGTGAAGCCATACAACCTCGAGCCCCAATCGGTATTGCTCGTCTTCCAAACATCTCCAGACCTATTCTCGGTCCTCTTCGAATACTCAAAGGTCCAGTTCGTCAGTTCGGGAATGGAGAGAAGCATTCGACGGTCTGGTTCTGGTTGCATCCTACCATGTCTTCTGACGCTTGGAAGATGGTCTCCTCCCTAAGCTACGTTCGTACAGACCAGGAGGAAACATCCGAATCAACTAACATCAAACTATCAGATTGTACCGGTCATCTCTGCCGAATGAAACTAATTGGTCCATTCTCCCATCAAATTCTTGCAGATATCCTTCAACCTCATTCAGAGGTGCCTGAAAGTGGGGACTGGTCTCTGTGGAAGGCTCTGGGTGACTATCAAAAGTCCAGTTTGTTTCCATCGGGCTGTGCTCTGACTCTACTATGTTCGCCTTTCTTGACGAATAGGTAAGCTTTCTTGTTTCTGTGTTTTAATTCATGTATCTGCAAGTTCCTTCTATTGTCTCTTTTCATTTAATTGCTTTAGGCCCCGAGTGAAATTGTTCAACCGGAATTGGTTAATTCCTGAACCTAAGATGGGCAAAGACTCCACAAATCTGAGTAGTAGTTTTGTCTCAAAGTCTCTGTCTCAATTTGATTTTTCCCAAATTCAACAAGGTAAACGCGATTTGACTTTCAGCGACCAGATCATTCAGTGGTTCTCATCAGCACAGCCTTGCTGCTTCTCTAATGTGAGTTTATATATATATCTCAAACCACACATTTATAATGCAGAGAAAAGTCTTCAATACATTTGTGTCAGATCTGAATGAGGTTTCATCCACATGGTTTTGCAATGAGGCAATGCATTTTAGCTTTCTTTTCACGTACTTCCATCTTCTTCGCATATTCTGTGATATATGTCCTTTAAAGTTCAAAATCTATAATTTTGCTTTTCTCTCTAATGATAAACGTTACAAGAGATGAACGTCGTGCTTCTAACTGAGATGTTCACAGTATTTGGCTGTTAACCACGAGTAAATCCCATACCTCCGTTGTCTAAAGTTCCAGCCGCATTGTATCCAAAATTTGGGTTAAGTTGACATAGCTTTTAAGTATAGCTTAATAGCAGAGTCAATACAGGCGAAAGTAGGGTAAATCGTACGTCTGAACTGCATGAAGGACAAGACGTAGAGGAAGAATGCGGATAAATCGGTTATTTATAGGGGACCTGACTTTATAGGTATTTCCGCCTATTTTAACCCAAAAATGCGGATTAGGCAAACTGGGGCTATCGACAAGGTTAGGTCTCCTCTTCGGCTCGACTTCGATTTATTGCAGTGATGTCCGTTTTTTCATTAATTTTTGAATGCGATTTGAATCACAGCCGTAGCTTTTTGTACCTTCTACAGGCCGGTGTACCAATCATCCTAGTACAAAACGCAACCCCCAGCCTATCCAGTCAGAAATCTCAATGCATCGGTTGGGACATAGTTCTTCCAAGACAACTTCTCAAACCACTCCCTGATGATAACAAGAATGAGACGCCAGCAGTCAGCACATCAGCTCCTCGTGACCTTGTGGTGGCCTGCGTTTACCGAGGTGTACGAGTAGGGGGTTTGAGGGATCAGTTGCGATGGTCTTGTCTCACTACAGAAGCCGCAGCCAGGGTCGATGCCTTCCCCTATGCCCTCTGGCCGGAAACGCCCGCCGCCAAACTTATCACTGACGAGAAGTTTCATATTAGGGTGGAGAGAAATGAAAAGGGGTAGGTGTTTTCGATTTAATTTTTGTTTTACTATTCATCATTTAAGAAGCAATTTTCAGAATCTCGTCACATTTCGAGCTTTGTTCCCAAATTCGATGGACAGGAAGGTAGTTTAGAAGCATATTCAACTACTCATTGTCTTTTTATTAACCGTGAAAGAAACTGGGAGGGGGAGGG